GCCGGTGGCCTGGGGACAGAAATGCCTCGTCCTCTGCTCCCTGCAGATACCCAGACTCGGGTGGGGTGGGTCGGGGGGTGGTTGTGAAAAATGGCCCAGCTGGCTCATTTCTGGCTCTTGGATCAGGAAGCGTTTTCCCTAAAGGATTCCTAGGATAGCCAAGTGTCTTTCGAGCAATATCTTATTTAGAGATCAAGGTTACAAAAGGTGAAAGGTACTGATTCAGGTGTTCTTTTCAGGGCCTGACCGGGGCTCGGAGGAAGGGTGGCCCTGCCTTCCCTGAGTAGGGGGCTGGCTTGGGAAATCTCAGGGGACGTGGCCGATGTGGTGCAAAGAGCAGGTAGGGAAATGCCCGGGGGTTTCATCCCGCTAATGGCCTTGTGATAAAATTGACCTTAATCTGCACCTGCATATACACACACGCTCTTTCTTTACAATGGCTCCCGGGCCACAGGCCTCAGAGGGTCAGGACAAGCATGCCAAGGGCAAAATCTTCAGCTTGTCACCTTGGTTATGGGTGGGAGGGTCTGTGGGTCTGCACAGCAGCCGGGCCCTGCCTACGCTGGGGACCCCTCCACAAGGCCTAGGGGTTCTTTCGTGGGGCTCCAGCCGTAGGTCCACTTCCTCCGTGCCCTGACCCCAAAGTCTCCCTGAGGACCAAACTCAAAGGTGTTTCCCATTCCTCAACCCTCTTCCCACCACATTTCCCAAACCTTCATCGTGGGAGGGGATCACTGCCTCCCGTACACGGGCTCTGATTGACTTGAACCAGGCTGAGTGGGTCAAGAATGTGCAAAAACCCTCAATCCGGTGAATTGGGGTCTCCTTCCTTCCTTCCATTTTTAAAAAAATGTTTATTTGTTTTTGAGAGAGAGAGAGCCAGAGCATGAACAGGGGAGGAGCAGAAAGAGAGGGAGATACAGAATCCGAAGCAGGCTCCAGGCTCTGAGCTGTCAGCACAGAGCCCGACGTGGGGCTCGAACTCACGGACCGCGAGGTCATGACCCGAGCCGAAGTCAGACGCTTTACCGACTGAGCCACCTAGGCGCCCCAGCATGCTTCCTTTCTTACTAGGTTTGAATGAGAAGCTGACTCCCAGCCACCAATTCCCCACTCCAGAGGTAACCACAGTTACCGGGTTTTTTTGTTGCTTTTGTTTTTTCATTTTCTAGAGAGGTCTTAGGCATGAGGGCAGCGATGTTTGACTGTTTTGTTCACTGCTGCACCCCCAGCACCTGGGCACAAGGTAAGTAGTCAATAAATACCTGTGACTAAAAGAATGAATCATTTGGGCAAGAGGTTCCCACCTCTTAAGGGGAGAGAGCTTGCCCAGAGTGGTGTCACAGCAAGGAGAACAAAGTGCCTCCTGGATGCAGCCATGCCTGAAGCCAGCCTGCTTCTGGACTTTTCAACCACACGAACCAAGACATCTCTACTCTTAATTAGGCCTCTTTCAGCTGGGTTTCCGGCCACTTGCAATTAGGAGCCCACACGGATACAAAGGCTGGTGAACGGTTATCTGATGAGGGCACGCTCTGCCAAGAGAGTAGCCGTGATTTTTTTCTAGCTCTGGGTAGATCATCTATAGTTTAGAGACGAACAAGTGTCAAATGGCAGGCTGCGGGGGTCTGAACAAACGAATTGGCTGGTGGGTTATTTAGATTAGAGAGCCTTAG